CTTCCCCAGAGCAACACTCTGTGGTCTAAATACACTTCTTCTCAGTTGCATATATCATTTGAGCTTGGGGGAGATGAAGAAAATAAAACGTCCTATTAATAATTCAGAATTTCAGCATGTAGTGTTATGTACAGTAGCCGCAGGTTTATTTGTGGAAATATGTAGATACACCCTCGGGAGAGACCATTTTTTTTTTTAAACTGGCATGACCAAATAAAATAAATCTGGCCTTGTGACTGAGAAGAGATCAACTGGGGGACAAAATAACACAAATTACAAACAGCTTCTTAAACTGTCTCTCATTCCTGTAAATGAGTGTTAAGACTGACTGCATCTAGTTGCTGAGCTGCTCAATCCTGTCAGCAAGAGGGCTTCAGTACATACAGGTTTACCAAACTCATTCCATAGAAAGCTTCAGAGGAAAGCAGTTATCTAAAGATGAAGGGAGAGGGGAAGAAATGAAATAAAGAGCGCTTTTCTATTCATTGCCTCAGTGGCCACTGAAGTGTGGGAGCAATTTCAATACAATATATAGCGGAGGCTTTGATAAGACTTTTTCAGTAGAATCCTTAAAAACAGCCAAAACCTGGTTACATGTGCATCTGTGTGTGTTTATGTGCAAGAGTGTGTGTGGGTTTGTGTGTGTGTGTTTCTTGGAGGAAGGGTGTTTCAAGGTTCGGACAAATGCAAGATTGTCCTGCTCATAAAAGAGAGGGGCTCTGTCACGGTGCCTGCCAGCTAAAGGCTTAAATCACATGCCGGGAATACACAATGACGTTATACCCCCACACACACACACAGCCACCCACACACGCATTTCCACACACACACACACACACACACAATATACCTAAATTATACAGAGTAAGACCATTCCTGGAAGCACCCATTTTCAACATCTGCTCTAGCTAAATTGTTGGCATGCACAAGCTCAACGTAAACAGATCAAAAGGAGTGAACATTTTATCTCCTATATTGCCTACCCACCATTTAAATGATCACAGTCACACCTCTTAACTTCTTTTTTTTAGCACTCAAAAAACAAAATGCATTCAATACGTTTATGGCTGCCAGTCATTTAAAGAATCTTTTCCGAGACCTTTGTTTAGTATGAATTCAAGAAAAGATAAATCAGCATAGCTTTTTCTAAAAAATGTGTGCATATTTTACATTTGATAAATTCAGTTTCTGTATTGTACATTTAAAGATTTTTATATAAAGCACTTGTAACAAAATAGTGTCATGTATACTACTACAGAATAAATATATTTATTTATATTCCATGCGTTGGTATTAATTGATGTCTGACATATTTGTCATTATAAGCAGCAAGAGCCTCACTACCAGATGACAAGAAACAGTGTTAAGTCAGCAGAGGTGTGCACATAACTTTTTTGCCCTGGTTCTCAAAGGAGCACCTGGAGATGTTGCTTAGTGCTCATCCTTAAAATGAAATAAACCGTAACTTTTGAGGGGGTCTTGACTTTATTTGCCAGACACACGGCACTGAACACACATGCAGAGGTGAACACAGACCACACATGCAGAGGTGAACACAGAACACACATGCAGAGGTGAACACAAGACAACATTAGCACGACCAGTAATCCTACAAACTGTCATCACTACCCTCCTGACTGTTCTCCTCTCTGTCTTCCTCTCTGTTCTCCTCATTGTTCTCCTGACTGTTCTCCTCACTGTTCTCCTCTCTGTCAGACATGGTAGCTGATGATGTAGGCGTACTACTTCCTCTCTGGTTGAGTCTGCGATTAGCTGCTTGCATCCACAAGTCAACAGTTGGTTTTGGGTCGAAAGTCTCTGTTGTCATCTTAGACAAGTGGATGTAATCAAATAAGTATGGGAACATAATCAATAACCTACCATAGCCAATAACAATTGAATGTAACTTATTTTATTTGTGTTGTTCATTCATATCTTATTTTACCTTAACATTTATTTATTTAAGCATTTTTTGTATCTCTCCAGTTCTAGGATGTTTTTGGTTACTGTCCTATAGTATACATTGGAATGATTTCAAACCTGTTTATCCCAATAATTATAAAGGAGTGCCTTGGAAATATGTGTTTACATAAATTGTGACCAAACAGTTTGAACTTAGACTAAAGTGAACTATTTAAACACTCAAGAGTCCTTTACCTCACTGAGCTGTAGTATCAGCCTCTCAGTCTGACTGGAGAGGACTCTCCCTCCATATCATTGTAGAAACATCTTCTTCTTACATCCATTAGAGCAGCTAGCACCAGATTCTAATAACAACAGCGCCGGTACCGGGCGGTGCGCCCTTCTCTCTCTCTCTCTCTCTCCCTCTCTCCCTCGCTCACACTCGCATTTTGGCTGTGAGCTGTGGGCGCCAGATAAGCCGCATGCGCACCTGCGCCCCAGTTATGTGCAGCCCTGACTATAGAGCCCCTTTTCTCCTTGACACCCTGATCTCAATGCTACCCGACACAAGGCAGAATGTCGCCACCTAAAGGCAACTTTTATAGCCTTTCAGACTCTTTGCCTCTGTACCACCTGCACCTTATTAACACGGATGGTCTCCTACCGAGACAGGATTCAGTTTAATTATAGTTTCATGGTGAATCAAATTACTACTCAAAACAAATCAATATGATAAATTATGGGCCATTTAAAAGTAATGACACAGGAGTCTTAGAATGTTTGCTGACAATGAGTGCAGCTTCTTGAAAAGATGGGAAGGAAGCAGCAGAGAAACTTATAAAACAAGTCAGTGGGCCACAGCCTGGCACAGCTGGTAACTCTAAAGTATTCAAGGGAGAGTGGGTGCAGAACAATTGACTGAAATCCCTTTTTCCTTCATATTGAAGAATTTGAGGCAGATTGGTTTTAACCTTGATTCTACACTAAGTAATTCCCTTCTACGCCTTAAGCAGAATTAGGCATCATTACGTATCATCTATCTCCTTATCCAAGGAATTCTCTTTAGAAATGAAATGAAGCTTTCCACTGGGCCGGGTGCTGGCACGGTGGTGACAATGATAAGGCCAGCAGAGCTCTGCTGATATGTTTATATTATTCCCCTCTACCACATAGAGACCAAGTCCAGCCTGTCTGCGAGTGCACCACTATAAAACATCATTAGAGTCCCGCAGCAGTGTGGAGAAAGACTGGGAGTTGCAGGCAGCTACAGTAGCCCTACTAGGTATGGATGAAGACAGTACACTAAGGTGCCCTTGTGAAACTGACTGAGCAGGCAATACACTCTCCTGCTTTATCCATGCCTTTATTTATTTTTCCTATTTAGCTTCTCCTCTCGTGGCAACCGTAGTGACAGATGGGCTGAGAGGCCTTGGGATCGATGGAAGGGGAATTCTGTCTTTGTTTCCTGACATTTTTCCCATAGCCACTCTCCTGTGACTCAGGTTACTTACTGTCCACACAAACGGAGTGAGAAGGCAGAAGCAGGGGAGGAAGGGAGGAAAGTGATACGCTTCTGTACAGATTCTGAAGAAACTTAATGCCTCAGGCCATCTCCCTCTACACAGGTTTCTGTTGAATAATACAACAGAGCACCCTGCACGTCTGATGCGTTGAGGGGACCCTCTGTAAACAAGACACTAAGGAATTCATTGTTTCCACACATTTGTTTCCCTTTGAAAGTGGGAGAAAAGTAAGTGCACAAAAAGGATATGCAACAGTCTCAGACAGTCTAATTCATCATCACTACTTTTATCAGAGAATGGAACAGAAATGATTCTGTTCCTTTGATTAGAAAGCCTTAACGGTCTTTGTGCTGACCCTTGCCCTATGCAGCTGGGCCATAATAGAAGCAGGGCTGAGACTGAGAGTGGGAACAACAGACAGTGGCCTTCCTCCCTGGTGGGAAAACGTCACATCTGATCACATTCCTCGTCACATCCACATCCAGCACAAATAGTGGGAGAGAAAAGACAGCATAATAGAGAGACGAATAGTTGCAGTTCAAAAGGGTTTAAGGGAGGAATGTCAATCATTCAACGTGCCAATTAGTATAATGCCATACGCGGAACATTATAAAAGTAAGGGATGTTTAATATTTCTGTTAAATTACACAAGGATCATTTCTTGTTTGAATATCTGAACAATAGGTAGGGGTAAGTAAAACGGTTTGCTACACCTGCCCATTGTCCCTAGTGTTGCACACCACTGTCTTAAGCAGGCACTAATCTTTGTCTGACATGACAGACTTTTAATTGGCTTAAGGCTGAAGAGACAGAGAACTTATCACATTAGAGGCTTATACACCCAAGTCCAATGCACAAAGTCCTACAATGTAGCCATTAAAGTAAGTATAATCTGTTAATCTCTAGGAATTAGAGAATTAAATACGCTATATTTAACCATGAAGTGCTATAGAATTTGATGACTGATGTGATGTTAAACAACGGCATGAAACCGTGAACGCCTATTTGTCACTGCTGGAGATAATTTACTGTCGTGGTAGAGCATTATAGAATTGACTGCCTGTGTGTACAAGTTTATTTATAGAGTACGTTATAGAGTATATTAAAAAAATAATAATAGTAATTGGATTTTGACATTAACGTGTCTGTGGGATAAATATATAGTTTCAAATGGAATTGAAAAAAAAACTGATTAGAACTCAGCAACAGGCTAAACTCTTTATTCCACAGGAATGAAATGACAGTGATTGAGTGATTAAAGAAACATTTCTACATGAAAATTGATTTCAAAAGCCTGGCGTGACATATTTCAGGCACAACTGATTTGTTTCTATGTCGCAGGCTCTGTTCTATGAGAACACCGGAGTGACTGTTTAATCCTTCTAATGCTCACCCCTCCCTTCCTTGTTTTCTCTATGCTCTTGGGCCTCTCTGCCTCTGCCTGTCCTTATCCCTCTTTATTTAGATTTTACAAAACAAGGGACAAATGTTGATATAGGAAATTGGAGCTTTCTGAGGGTTGTGACGTGAAAATTGTGGCATAACAGTGAACGAGAGGAGTGCAATGTCCCTTACCTGTATGATGGACATGCGGTTAGTAGGTGTATCTGTAGTGCTGGTGACTGGGCCTGTGAAGCTGGTGTGGCATCCCACGTGGCCTTGGGGCACGCTGAGGCTATTGGCAGTGGGCTTGAGGTACATGACCTCTGACCTTGGTGAGCTGAGTGGCAGTCGTGTCTGGTAGTCAAAGTACATAGGAGAGGTGGCCAAGGAAGGGCTGCTTACCACATTCATCACATTCATGGCATCCCGCTCCTCCACCTCGCTCTGCACCAGCATGATGTCGTTCTTGTTAATCTTCTTCTTCTTGCCTTTCCCCAGCTGAGGGTGCGAGTACTCTGCAATGCGACAATTATATGTACGGATCTCCTTGTTTTCTCGCTTGCACTTGATTGCTATGGTCACCATTGCAGCCAGAAGCATGATGGATATGATGCTTAGAGTTACAATAAGAGGCAGGGACATGTCCCAGTTCTGATTGTCCTTTGTGCGTGGCAATCCATCAGGGGGACGTCCGTTAGAGGCCTTGACGATGAGCCTGGCGGCAGCAGTCAGGGTCGGCTTGCCATGGTCTGATACTCGAATGATCAGCTCCACAATGGGGTTCACATCGTCCCAGAATGGGTGGGCTGTTCGAACCTCCCCAGTCACTGGATCAATCTCAAAGAGGTGCTCCTCATTGCCATCCGAGATCTCATAAGTGAGCCTCCCGCTCTCACCATAGTCATTATCCACGGCCCTTACTGTGGTGACAATGTAGCCCACACCAACATTACGCGGCACATGGATTTCAGCCGTATCATTTAGAAGTAGGGGCAGAACAATGACAGGGATGTTGTCATTGACATCGAGAACACTGATGCGGACTGTAGCATTGCTCTCCAGGTGTGGGGATCCTGCATCTCTAGCAAGAACCTTAAAGTCAAAATACTTGATTTGCTCATAGTTAAAGGATCTCACAGCATATATGGCTCCATTAGCAGCATTCACATTAACATAGGTGTTGACATCACCCCCACTCACATTGGAGTTCATTATGCTGTAGTATACTGTGCCATTTTGGCCAAGGTCCGGGTCATGCGCCAAAACTGAACCTAGGTACTCCCCAGGAATGTTGTTCTCGGGTATTTGAAGAAGGTAAACTGACTTCGTAAAGCGAGGAACATTGTCATTCTCATCCAGAATCTTTACGGTGAAGGATTTTGTGGAGTTTAGAGGAGGAATGCCGTTGTCTTTGGCCACAATGGTGACATTATACTCATCTTGCGCCTCTCTGTCCAAGGGCCTGTCTGTTACTACAGTATAGAAGTTATCATAGTTCTCTTCAAGTTTAAAAGGGACATTACCCAGCACTCTGCACTGAAGCTGCCCATTCCTGCCTGAGTCCTTGTCTGTGACACGGACCAGAGCAATGACAGTGGCTGGAGGTGCTGCCTCACTGATGGCTCCCTGTCTCACAGACACAAAGCCTATAGATGGCCAGTTATCATTCCTGTCAAGCACTTTAACTGTGACTTTACAATGGCCTGGGATTGGATTGGGACCTAGATCCTTTGCCTGGACGTCAATCTCAATGACTGGGCTCTCTTCATAGTCAATTTCGCCCTGAATCTTTATGACCCCTGTTCTTGAATCTATGGAAAAGAGCTCCCGGATTCTCTCTGGGGCATAGCCACTAAAAGAATAGACTACTTGTCCATTGTTGCCCTCATCAGGATCAGTGGCATTTAAATCGATCAGCACTTTACCAGGAGGAGAATTTTCAGGAATTTCCACAATATACGATGGTTGATCAAACACAGGGCTGTTATCATTGGAATCAATAACTTTAACATTTATCTGCATGTTACCTGACCTAGGATATTCCCCCCCATCCGTGGCTGACAAAATGAGGGTGTGATGGCTTCGTTCTTCGCGGTCCAATGGTCGTTGAATAACTAATTCTGGAAATTTAGTCCCGTCGCCACGGGATTTTACCTCTAAGGAAAATAGATTGTAGTCATCGCGTGTTATTTGATAGGTTTTCAGGCCGTTCTCCCCTGCATCTGGGTCATGCGCGCTGGTCAGGGGAAAACGTGTCCCTGGCATTGCATTTTCAGAAATTTCAATATCAATCTGATCCGAGGGGAAAGCGGGTGAGTTGTCGTTAATGTCCTGGATATCTATTTTGATCATGCAGATCTCCTTGTCATTGGCAAACACCTCCATGGAGAGCTGGCACTTGGGGTTTCTCTTACACAAGGTTTCCCTGTCAATGCGTTGCTTTGTGTACAGCAGTCCGCTTTGAGGGTCCACGTCGATGAGATGCGGTGCTGAGTTTTCAAGAACCCTGAAGTTGGCTTTCTTACCCTGTCCCGGCCCAACCTGTTCGAGTCCGAGTCTGGCATCTTTGGCTATGTTCCCAATCACTGTCCCTGGACCCTGTTCCTCCGGGACAGAGTAATTTAAGTTCTTCAATGTCAGGGCTTGAGCCCATAGGAGGAGGAAAAAGAAAATAGAAAGATACATCCCCACTCCGTAAAAGCAGCTATAAACTGTCTTGTGTCTATGCTTCCTTTGACCTGTTGATATTTTGTTCAAATGTGATTTTTCTATTATTCAGGATTAAAAAAAAGAGTTCTGTTCATCATGTGAGGCCTTGGCATCTGTCTTTGTGGATTGTCTTTGCTATGTCTCTCTCTTCCTCTGCCTCTTCCAGCAATCTGTGGCGCTGAACACCTAATTTATATTCAGCTGAGCGCCCAGACTCATCTGAGCAATAATCGCGATCCAGTCTCCGAACAAAATAGTCATTGTCAGTGTTTCTTCATACAACCTAAAAAGAAAAACAGAAAAAAAAATATTTGTTATATGTGTCAATTATTCAGCCAAATAAAATCTGACTACAATACAATAGCAATTCTGCCAGTTAGAAATCACATCCACCGCGGAGCCAAAAATGAAACAGGGCTCATGTGTAATTCATCTCCACAATTATAGGGAAGCTTGTCAATTAGTTAACCTTGGGAAGACACGGCGCAGCCCATACACAGGGAAATACTGATTTTCTTTCTTGTTTATTTACGACATGTATCATTAGAAACAAAATACAGTTCTTAATTCATCCTAATGTAAGACCTGACACTAGCATAATGTTTGCACATTTCCACATTATGAGAAAGCCGAATGAAACTGTAAAAGGACAACTTTAATAATATACTCCTGCAGGCGTACAACTGAAGATGGCCTATTGTAGCGGCTATTTGAATAAGTGTGGATAAAATGAGCCTCTTACACGCATTAACAAATCCGCATAATCCGGATATTTACAATGAGCCTTATAAAAATTCGGAAATTAGCTGCCAACATCTCAGCACTGCCGTGTAATTCTCTCCACTAATGCCCTCTGTCTCTCTCTTTATCTCTCTCTCTCTGTGAGATTCAACGGTCCTTGGAAGAAGCTGTTGCATCTGCATGCATAAGGATGGTTGTGAAATAACAACCATTTAGAAATGAACAACTGACAGGGCTTTCAATGGGAAATTGCATGAATTTACATGGAGCACATTATAGACCAAACGTAAACTTACCCAAAAAAGTGCTGTAATAGTCCAAATAATATAAATGTAAAAACCAAAACAGTCAGTTCCAGCAGGGTTTAGGGAGAGTTTCATTCTCTAACCACTTTCGTGTTAGCCCACCACCCGTATCCTCTTTCCGTCCTCTGTGCTGGGAGAAAAGCCACAAGCCTCCGCTGCACGCGCAGGCTACAGTGCAGCGCAGTGGAAATAAAAAAAAAGTGCTCCAGAAAAGTATGACTGTAATGTCAATGAGCTGAAGTCCTCTCCGCTGTCTGATTAGGATGCAGCGACTCGCCTTCTGCCCGCAGTGAGTCACCGTTCTTCAGGAAAAACAACTGTTCGGAGAGAAAACTATATGGGGAGATAAAAAAATCCAAATGTATAGTAAGGTAGATCCAAAGCAGATTTTTAAAGGGCGATTATTGTTTTTTCCCCCGTCCGAAACAGAGCTGAGTGACTGATTCCCGTAGTGGCATTTTGTCCTTGTCCGTCCTCTTCAAAGTCCACACAGAGAGACAGCTGCTGAGGAGGTGGTCAGCGACAGCCCCGCATTCTGCCACAAGTCTGTCTGTTGCTGTCTGAAAAGCGGATGATTTGTCTTTAATATATACGCACAATCGTTAGTTAGTATTGTCTGCACGTAACACAGCCCTAAGCACATAGAACGCTTCCTCTCACTGACTGAAGTCCGGACACCGCATGGTGCATTAAACATTGTCGCTACTCCTCTGGCAGCCAATGAATTTGAAGAGGTGGGAAGAGAAGGAGGGATTCAAAAGCCGCTCTGGGTACAGACTACAAATGATTGGTGGCTCGTAGTTCACCGGTGGTGCATCTGTGTTTTTTCAAATTTCACACTTCATTGTTGTTTACAATAAAGGAAACCGTGCGTTGGACAACTTGCAAGGGACTAACAGGGCAGGATGCAGCGGTTTGAAATGTCAGTTGGATCATTTATCATCAACAGACAGCAATATTTGGATTTAGTGTTAATACAAGTATTGTAATTGATTCCATTTACGGTATTGGTTCTTTATGTTTTATTTTGGAATTGATTTCAATGTTTTGAGAGAAGAGATGAATTGTTGAGTTTTTTTTATAAAATGGGAACAACAATACAATAGTATTAATTAGATAGGCACTCTTAAACATGTTCATTTAATGACCTTGACTTATATGTTTAAGTATAATTTCTTCATATAGTTTTTGGTATAATGCAGCAACCTACTTTAGAGACTTGTGTTTTAACTCAAATGTAAAAGTGTTATAGTAACAATGTATTTATTACCTGCTAGGGTGCCTCTTTAGAGTATCTATGCCACAATCCTATGATATTATGCAGATTATGTATGCCCCCCTTAGAAGCAGCAGTGGTTTTTATAAAATACTAATAATAATTTCCAAACACTGGAAATTAAACTGAAGTATCTTTTGGTAATAAGTTAATTGATTTTATTTTATTTTTTTCAGCTAAAAAAGACAACAATACTAATTTCTAGCTGTTAAGAGTTGCGGATTTTAAGCTTTTCTTTCTTCTTATGTCATGGTGAATTAATTAATAGTGCATCATTGTGCAGAGAGTAATCAAAGCTTTCTTACAATCTTTCTGTGTGGACATATTGTGACTGAGGCTCCATGCCCACTATTGGTTTGATTTACCATTTAAAATACATCACAAGTTATTACATATCCATATAACCTTCACTTCACTGCCCTGATAACTTTTAGTTGCTTTATCCTTGACTGTTGTCACGAGCTGCAGTTTTGTCCATATTCAACCATACCCTTAATTTGGTATTGCTATTTCAACGTCAGCGTTGTTGTGTAATCTTGTGGTCGATCAATGTATACACATGGATCTCAACCTCTTTGACTTTCCCACTGACCTTTCTCTCTGACAGGAGGGAATGACATAAGTGTCAGAATCATTCGTTAGTCAGGAGGCGACCAAAGCTCATTACTAAACAGCAGGTTTGATGTACTAATGTCAAGATGCTGATAACCGATGAAGGTAAATGTCACATCACTGTCTCTTTCTGCATATAATGTGTGATTTGTTGCATGTGTGTGTGTGTGTGTGATTATTTTTTTAATGTGATGCATATTTTGTGTGAGTGTACCTTCCTCTGAAGTCTTCAGTCGGCAACAAGACAGATGTTTTTTGAAAATATGATTAACAGCATGTGGATAATAACGACAAAACATTCCAATCTGCTATTGAATGAAGTGAAATCATCAGATTTACTCAAGACTTCAGTATTGCCAAAACATGTTTTTTTCATAATTTCCCCAAATAACAGGGTATCTTTTGTTGTTGTAAACAATGCAATGCACAGTGAGTTTAAACAATGCCTCCAAAACCACCTGCCTTGATGAAATGTCACAGTGTTTCCAGAGATAAACCCAGCCATTAGCAGCTTTCTTCATTAGCCCAATTAAATGGCCCTCAGGAAACACACTGACAGAAAGTGTATTTGGAATGGGCTTCTGGTGAACAGCTGCATTAAAACACTATTTCCTAAATTAAATTTCAATCTAATGGCAATGGCCTTTCTTCAAGTGGTAATAAGAGAGAGAAGGCCTCGTCCTGACTACGCCATGCATTTAACCCATTTTTGATTTTTTTTTTCCTTTTCCTACACTCTGATTTCTCTTCTTCTTCTTCCCCTTGAGAAATACAAATGTGTTACACTTTTAGAAGACATTTGAGCCATGAAGAAAGACCATGAGGAGTCTGAATGAGCTTTTTTTCCATACCTCTTTCAGGAGAGAAAATGAAGAAAAAAAAAAAATCTGTTCTCACTTAAAGGTAGGGTAGGTAAGAATGGAGAAACCAGCTCGAGTGCGCTAGAATTTGAAAGTACGCAGCCGAAAAAAATCTGCCCCTTCCTTCAGACTTCCTTACAGAGCCTCTCCTCCAACACACACGAACGCGCACATGACCAATGAGGGCAAGAGATAATTTTGTGCACAAGATGGAAGGCTGACAGGCAGGTAGGCCATCCAATTATCTGACCCGGGCCGGCTCAGATGATTGGTCGTGCTTTTTACAGTGCCATGGCTTCCACAGATGACATTTTTGTATGTATTGTTAAAGCATTTAATGTATTCATTGCTATCGGGATGTTAAGAGCATTCCATGGAATATAACAAAAAGTGTTTCTGAAGTGAATTACCTACCCTACCTTTAATACACAGGATTTTTTTCCAGCAGCAAACAGTCACCTCTTTCACCGTTACTTTTACCTGCCTGTTGTTTGTCTCCCACATCATTTGTTCCATGTTGCCGTCAGAATTGGTGTTTTTTTTTCTTCTTTAAAAAGTTTAACACTTTGCTGTTTCAGAGAAAGGGGGAGAGTAGCACTTCACTTTGGATCATTGTTCAAAGACAGCCCTCTATACTTTACATTTGTTACAGCACCCATGTATAATGCAGTCTGACTGCAAGTTTTTATTTATTAATGCTTGTTCCCACAGGTGACCTGCATATGTCACGCCTTCCTGAAAGTTAGTTCATCCAGCATATGACCCCATTACAGGATAATCTCTGAGAATTCATAAGAGACTGTTGAAGCTTGTATTACATTACATGTTACTTGTTAGACGCTTTTATCTAAAGCAACTTACACATACATCAATACTGTGGGCATTCCCCACAGGAGCAATTTGTGGTGAAGTATCTTGCCCAGAGACACAACGACATGCTGACTGCAGTGGGGTTTGAACCTGTGACCCCCTGATTTGAACACCAGCGCACAACACACTGCGCCACACACCGCCTTGTATCTGTCTAATTTTACAGCAGCAATATCATTTTACTGCCAAATACAAAGAAAACGTTTTTGTCCTACAAAGCTATTTTTCCTGTCCATGACTTTGACATTTTTAACAATTTACCTGTATCAATTTTATTAGGCTCAAAGTAATGCATAAATAAGGGTGTGGCTGCTTTTTGGTGTCAGGTGGGCACCATTGAAGGTTTCTAGCCCACATTCATGAAAGCTGAGTAGGGTCCAACTGCCATTACAACAAGCAGGTCAGGCGGTTGGTTAGAATGTCAAGCCAGATGTAAATGCATTGATCCACTCAGATGGGCCACCAAGGTCGGTCTGACCAACTTCACTGTGTTTGATAGATGTAAAGGTAAGTATGAGCACTGTCATGGTTTGCAGTTTTAGCCGTGGAATCTATCTATATGTTATGCAACCTCTCCTTATTTCGTTTTTCTCCAGCTCTAATGCTGTCTTTGTAACAGAGCAGCTTAAATCCTTGACCCAGCTTAGCATTGTCATCAAGCCTCAAGAAAAACAATGGTTTATTCAGAAAGGTTGATAGATAAAACCTGTCCTGTGCGTGGTGAGAGATAGTATGTGTGTATTTGTACACTTTGTGTAAACATGTCTGTATGTTGATTTTATCATTTATCTCTACGTGGATGCAGGTACTGAGTGCGTATTTCGCAGAGTGTATTGGACAGGATGAATGTGTGTAATGGTCAAACACAACTTGCATCTGTTAGTGTGACTGTTTCTGTTGTTCAACCAAATGTTCACTGTTTGTAGATTCCAAGAAATATTTCCTAAAAAAAGGATGACTGTGTAACTGACTCTGCCGCATCACATTCCTTACTGTGGAATTGTGGCCAGTGTTTGGCTTCAATAGGCAGAGGGCTGAGTTCACAGGTAACTACAGTTGTGAATGACTTGTTTTATTTTTGTGATATGTGATATTATTGTGAAATGTGATATCCTGTGAGAGAAAAATAGATCTACTGTAAAACAGAGATTAATTCTCATCAGATTGATTTTTTTCAAAGGCACATTTCTGGACATCCTTTGGTTCTACACTGACCCTCTGAAGGAAGTCAATGAGTCGGATGCATACATTAATCCTCTCAACATGCTCTTAGTGGAATAACACTCTCCTTGGAAAGAACATCAGATAGATTCATTGTAATCATATTCTATAGCCTTATTAGCATCACCTATAGTGCTCCAAAAGAGCCACACCCCATTTGGCCAGCCAGACTGGACACAGGAAATTGGTGCAGTAATGCTCAAAGTTATGCCTTTAGTAAGCAGTTCATTCACCCTAAGGTGCAAATAATTACCTCTCCTCTCCCCAACCTCGCCAAGTATCGTGCTGAGACAAGGAGATGAGACCAACTGCCTCCTTTAGCTTAGCATCAAAGATACACCAACTCACATAATTTCATAAAGATTCAAAACACTGTTTATACAACCCTTTGATAGACATAAGGCTGGGTAGTCATTTGTATTAGAAACATTTACTTACATCTTTCCATGCAATGCTTTTGTATAGCTTATTGATATTAGAGAGATTAATTAAAGCAACACACAGCAGTGTTTATTAGACAACATAAAGGGCTTACGTAAGTGACACATGAATCCCCCTGAGAAACAAATATTGCTCTTTAACAGTTATTACAAGGATAGGATTCAATGTTCTATGCCTGCTAGACTTCACACTTAAATAAAGCTGTCATGTTTATTTATTCATTTGAGTCATGCATATTATTAGGTTATTGATTTCCAAAAATGTTTGAGGAATTGAATAAGGATGGACCATTGGAGGAAAACACCAACAAAAGAGTGTTATAGGGAGAGCATACTGGAAAGGTAAAGCTACAAAATAACTGTTGAAAACATCTGAAATATAATGTTTGACACTGAAAACCTTGCTGATGAACAATGAAACATGTGTAGGCAGGAT